GCATCGAGAAGAGAATCTCTTTTTCTTTTTCTTTACAATGACTAATATTATTTAACGAAACAAATGGAGCTGATGTTAAAGTTGGATCAACTTCCATATTAAATAGAACAGAAGTTTTGCCAGGTCGACCTACAGATCTTCGTGCAAATTTCATAGCAACATTTAAATCATCACTCGTAGAAAGAAAACTATTGAATGCAAGTAGACCTCCAATATTATTACGTATTCCAATAAATTCGTCATCAAGCATTCCTTGACCTCGATAAACGATAAATGATCCCATTGAACTGGATCTTGCTGAATATATTTGTTGGATCTGTTGATGAATATCTTTCATAAAGAAGCCCATGATAGCAATAACATCAATATCAAAAGTTCTCAAACTACGATTGAGCATTTTATAAGCAAAACACTCACGAGTATACCACCATATGGGTGAATGCTTGTCATAATCTCGTTCGAATTCATCAATAATTTTTAATTGATCTAAATTATGACGGTAACTTTTTCGACAAAAATCAGCAAGCTCGCTTATTGCTTGTTTATCGTAGGTCATTTCTAGTAGAATGTCTTTTATCAATTGTGAATACATAAATGATGAATTAACTTGTTGTAAATCTTGATTCGAAGAATCGTTCGATGACAGAATACTTGTTGGAATTAAATCTTGTTCACATTGCGCAGCATCACATACAATTGATTGACAGATAGGTTCAATTTGATTATGAACAAGTTTTATCTTTTCCCATTGTTTTGTCCATTTGTGGAGCGTTGGTTGGCCGCAAAATATATATATGGAATCGAGTCGAACATATTTATGAACAAGTGGTACTAGTTTTTCTCCGAGTTTTCCAGATACAATAAGGAATATTTGTTCATCCCTTTTCTTTTCAATGAATTCACGACATGCGTCCAAATCAGTAAATAATGTAATTGAATTAAAAACTTTATGTAGTTCAGAAATCGTGTACTGGCAATCTTTTTGCAATTGACCAATGCTTGAATCTAACCAAATGAGAATAAAATTTTGAACAATCTTATTTTCGCAATATTTTATAACATTTTTCTTGTTGGAATAATTTCTTTTTAAACCTGGTGTTCCGGTAAAGTTTCCCATTTAATAAAGTTTAATGTATAAATATTTCTAAATGAAATCAAACATAGTGCTAGAGCTTGTAAATGATGAAATCTTCTCTTCTTTGATCCTGTTGAATAACAATTCAATTCATTTTTACCTTACGATTGGTTCGATGAAGTACTTTTCTCTTTGAGACCTTCAATGCTATATTTTAAGCGTGTGTTTAGATAGATAAATATAGGACTGCACATAGAAGAAGGATGAAAGACAATTTTGAAGTTGTTTTTCTTACGGTATGATATTTTTATGCTAGTCTATCTCATCAAAAAATGGCGATCCTTCCTCACAATCCTGATTTCATTGAAGCAACTACGAATAAAAACAAAACTATAGATCGCAAAATGTTAACTCATGTGACAGTAGTTTATATATTTCTTTTTATTTTATCGTGAAGTTGAATGCAAATATAACTTCACATGTATTCACCTTCAAGTAGTAGATGTTGATTTGGTTTAACGTTATCACACACATTTCATGCAATGCAAATGGACTATGTAAATATATCTAACTTAGAAAAGAGAAAGAAGTATGTTGCTTTTGTAAAATGTAAGAGCTTTTGTCAAAAAAACGAAAAGTTTGTTTGTGCACATGTGGATGACTCGACGTCAAAGTGTGCGCCTATATGAGAGTGAAAGCCTTCCTTTCTTCCATACATCCACACGCGCACACTTACCCTTGCATTCTCGCATAAGTCAGCTACTGCTGATTGATTGATTATAATGATAAACTAAGCTATAAATATTTTCATTGTCGTTTAGTATTCATTATTAAATTCATTTCATCTATCCATCGAATATCCCTTTTTTGTGTTGCCCTGAATGTGGGTCTAAGGACCGAGAAGACCTTCATTCACAGCCGCCTACACTCTCGAATAACTGATTATCCAATTCTTTGTTCCAATTGATTATTCGACAAAAGGTTTTCGTGTCAATTCAGTGCTCCGTTTGTTGGATGTTCTTTTCTTTTTACAAAGATTGATGTAATCGAAATCAATTGAAATAGACTTTATTCGAAAGACCTCAGTTCCATATCATTGATTTGATTGATATGAGATCATATCAAACATGACACACAAATTGAATTAATTAATATTGATTTCTGTTAATCTTGGAATTGAATGAGTGTGCGTTTGCCAATTAAATTGCATAGAAGAGGTATGACAAGCATCACGTTGAACTCGTGTTCGCGTAGGTCTGTCAATGAACAGTACACAGCAAATTAATTATTCATTTTTTCATTGTATTGAACTATCTAGTATAGCTGCAATGGGTGGTACGTTCGCCTGATGCGTTTCTATTTTTATTAAATGCTGTACATGTTTAAAAGATCTAAAAAGTGAATCCTGTTCGATAGTAGACTTTAGATCCTTTTCTACATCCATGACATTTTGTGCAAATTAGGTAGACGTAAATCAGAGATGTTAATCGAGTTATCCATGGAGCCATGTCCCAAATGGGGATGGGGCGAAGAAGTGTTCAATCTTCGCTTATTCAATTTCTCACGTATGGTATGGATCATGGAGTGATAACTCTTCTTACTCCATAGTCTAAATGAAATTTTAGAATACATGGAAGAACTTGAAAATATAGACAACGAGATCGTAGAAATTTTTTTATTGTCTTATTAGTCACACAGTGTCAATGTTTCATATTGATATTCAATGTCATGCATCAGTATTCTGATATTCAAAATATCATCCTTTAAAATTGTTTTACAAAAGAAGAAAAATATTTAACAAATAAACTTTTTCATATTGAAATCAAAGCTATTAATCAATCGTTACCATCGTCATCACTTAAATAAGTTACGCAGCCACAGAAGAAAAACAACACCAATTGCTTGAACAATTTACACATGATTTTAAGAGACAATTTTTCAGTGCCAGCTTAGTTTATACTGAACGAGGAAATTAATCCGATGGTACTCCATTCGATAATGTATTACTTGTTCATGCAGCGAAAAAATGCAAGTATAAACGAAGTAAAATAATGCTCTTGCAGTATTACTAAACCATGCAGGTAAAAGTTTCTATTTGTTTTTTCTTTATGAATTTCAACCTCTGTTTTTTATTGTACATACTTGTCGCTACGCATATATCTTACTCTAGTGAATATGTAGAATTGATTTTAAAATGATTAAAATGACTATGGTTGATAAGAATAACTTTCGTTTTTGTTAACAGTGTTCATTGTTTGTTTCGATGTGTGCTCATATTTTTTTGGAAAAGTAAATAACCTGTCCTTTTTTTTTGTTTATTTCATGAGCTCCATGGGTTGGAGCTCATGGTCGGCAGTAAACTGGAATTGAAAAACTCAGTCTCTCTATCGGTGGGGAAAACTGCAATACAGAAAACTGACTGAAAGGGCACCCTACGCATGGGACTTCGCCGATATACAGAAATCTCAAGGAGATATGAATTTCAAATCAGAATTGAAGGGAAAAAAAGAAATATCGTCGACATAGTTTTGCTATGATTATTTCTCTTATTTTTGCAAACTCTTTCACAAAACCAGGCTCAAGATTGCTTTTTATGCTTGCTCAGATCCAAATACTGACCGTAGAATTCGTTTTATATTGATGATTTCCTTGATAAATGATTATACTATTTTCTAGTCTATATGTTGGCTGAATGTCGCTCTTACGATGCTCAATCTTATATCAATGTTGTCGATTTTCGTCTTTTTTATAGCTTTCATTACTAGAATGAATTAGATAACTTTTATCTCAATACAGTCAATAAGAAAAACAGCTTCACCACTGGAAAACACAAGAATATAAGTTCATTTTTCATTCGTTCGTTCTATACAAGTTAAATCGCATGTGAATTCTAAAGATAGGCGCGGCAACATTTTGTACGATAAATTAATTTTATTTTTGGTCTCGATTAAAGACTGAAGAAAAAGAATAGCTGAAAAAAAACAGTTTCCGATCGATTCTTTTGTCTTTTATGTTGATAGGACTGCAATTGACCACTTATTTATTAACCGTAACTCTATCACCTTGTTTCAAAGCAGCTCTATCTCCTTGATTTAGAATAATACATCCATGACTTGCTGACTGATCTCCTTTGCTGTTGTCGCCATGAACTTGGAAATCTGATCGTCCAAACATGTTGTTTGATGAATCTGGTGTCAAATTACATCGTTCGCCTGATTTGCTACAACTGTTTGCGATTGTGTACTTTCCTTCAGGGATAGGACCTCGATTTGATTTTGTTTGATCTCTCTCGCCCTTATATCCACTGTAGGATGATGTACACTGACCGGTATTGTCATTACAAAACTTGCCTGTAGTTTGATTATACGTGTACGACATGTTCACTTCTACAAATAAAAAATCCATATTAATCACATAACATCGACCAGCACAATTCGGAAGATCATTTTTTATTGTTCACTAAGAATACGTACTTTAGCAGTTGGGGACCTTTTACTTTAGTGTGCTTTACCTGTTGAGAAATATGAAAGGCACTGAAACTGGTGTAATAATTATTTATAAGCAAGAATGTTGATATTTTCCAACTTACTTTATCGACAGGAAGAGAGAAAGTGGTTGTTGCGCAACTCATATCAATTATTTAGAGGTCATTCGTTTCTTGTACTCCTTACTAATCGACTGTGTTGGTCTTTTCTTCTACGCACATTCTATATTTATAATAACGTGCACGACACGTGTTATTTTCTCGACGGAAGACAGTTTCATATGAAATAAAATTCGTGCGTTTGTGTATGTATGTTTGCAGGGACGTGTAGGGTCACGTGTCTCGGTATGTTGATGCAAGTTTACAGCAACTATTAATACGTGAATACTTTGTGCTGTATCCTTAACCAATCAAATGTTTGCACTGTCTAACACTCGTCCAATCAGTAGTTGTCATGTTGAGAGCTCAACCGATAGGCTTTTTTGGGACCAGAAGTTCGTCCAACCGGGTATTTAGAGACTGGCATTTCAGCCCATCAGGGTGTGGTGTGGGTGTGTGCGTGTGCGTGTGCGTGTGGCTGTGGGTGTGAGTATGGGTGAATCTAACACTCACATTCATACCCACACCCACCCACCCACAAACATTACCAGTCGATTCAACGTGATGAATTATACCTGCCTTGCCTTCGTCTAGAGTTTTCCACAAGGATTTGGTCGAAATCAGAATCTCTAGAAAAGTCTTATAACGGTTGAATAGAACATGTTAGAGATGTCAGCTGAAAATTATTCGAAAAACATTATCCTCCCTTATATTTTGACGTCGGTATAACTGAAAGTTTAAATCGAGATTTTTGCGACTCCCCCTATTACAGACAAACGTTTCAGAACTTTCCTGATTTTTGCACAGAGAAATGATTATATTCAAAATATCAAGGATGACGGTCTAATTTGCTACAATTGTCATATAATCAACACAAAAGAATGAACTAAGTTCGAGTTCATCGAGATATAATTTTATACTTTACATATTTTGTATTAATATAATGAAGCTAAAGAAGACATGTAAGTTCAACATCTCAATCCTAATCGAGTTTCTCTAATAAATTTTTATAAAGAATAATAAACTAATGACTAGATTCTTCAATAATTTTCCTTTTTAAAATTTGTACATATTTGTATTGTTTGATCTTCCCGTTTTCTAGAATACGCAGACTAAGAAAAAGCACAAAATAAATGATATTCTTAAAGAAAAAACAAAAAGACAAATCAAATATTAATATTACTGGCAATTTTGTTATTCGTGGAAGTTTTGGATAAAAGTCTTTTTCTGAATCAAAATCAGAAATTCGGGATACTGGTAATTCTTGATTATATTCATCAATAGCCTTCGTTTTAAATCGACCACGTCCGACAACTGATGTAGACTATAGTCAAAAAGTTTATTAATATATGTATATATCAGTATATAATTTATATACTAAACTAACTTTTAAACTAATTAAATAGTTTATTGAACTTTGTTGATCAATATCCAAATTACTACTATCATAGATAACACTGTTTATGAAATCTTTTTTGTCATTATCTAATCGGTAAAATTCTTCAAATTCATCGACAATTCTATTTTCATGTTTAACTTCATGATTTAATTCTGCATTGAAAAATTGATCAACTGCAAGATCTTCAATTTGATCATCGAAACAATAACATCCAACATCAAATTCACTGTATGTGTCACTGTCATTATATGTCAATAATTCCATAAATTAAATACAAATTTATATGAAAAAATATGAGAATATTATTATTTTATTTAAATTATTTATGTTTCTATTATTTCAATGATATTTTAATTGGTAATTGAAGAAATTGACCGAGCAGTGTTTATAATAGAAATCTAAAATAAAACTGTACAGTAGGTTCTGTTTCATATGGGTAAAATATATATGTACACTTGTTTTTCCAGAAACAAAATCTACCACAATGTATAAAACAATGTTTTTATGTAATATTAAACAAACAAATACAGAATAAGAGAAGAAACAACTTCGTATTCGATTCCTTTAGAAAGATTGACTAGACAAAAGTATGCCATTAGAATATTATATGAACTTGAGAAACTACGATTTACTATTTTGCAAAATCTATAATAATCATAAAATTAATCAAAACTATCATTTTCATTTTTATGCACATCAGCATCATTCGAACAATATTAACTGGTGATCCATGAACAATCGACTTCTTACGAGAAAAGTCTCCAAGTGATTCATCGCTTTTGAGTAGGGATTATATGTGTCATGTAGGCCCTAGTGAGATATGAATACCCTGAAAAGAGTTCAGCCTGATAGCTTATTACTGCCGAGATACTGCATTTTTAAGATATTTTTCAAGCAAACAGCCTTGGTCCCCTTCAGGAACATCAGAAAA